TCATTAAAGTATTTTGTATCTTGTATCTTTGTATCTTTATTCTTGCGTTTTACAATAGATACCGCAATTTCCGCACTTTCACTTCCCCACGACCAACACAGTTCTCCTGCTTAGCTGTGGACTCCAGTGGAGAAATTGTTTCAGCTGGTTCCCAGGACTCTTTTGAAGTATTTGTGTGGTCTGTGCAGAGTGGACGACTTTTAGACGTAAGCCACAGACACTTTTTACGGTGCTTGCAGTAATCCATTTTGAAGCAAATCATATTCTTACCAGTATTTCCTTTAAAAGAGAAATCCTATAAAGGTAGAATTTTAAGTGATTATTAAAGTCAAACATTGAATTCCTGTGAATTTTAAAGCTGATTATCTGAGAAAAATAAAATCAAGACACTTAGTTATAGAACTCATGATTTCTCAGTCTTATTTCTGAATGAACAGTTTGGAATTAAACAGATAACTGAAACTTCCATCTGTGCAGCTGTGGCCTATTAATACTGTACTGTGTTTGCCTTCATTATTTAAACAGCATCTTATAAGGGGCAAGGGCAGAGATCTATCATGTATTTGTAGATAATATTTCTCTTATAATTCACTATAACACTGTATCCCCAGTTTGTTGTGCTGAATGTGGCCATAGTTACAGATAATAGTATGCACTAATATTACCCCGAGTCTGTTGTCCTCACCTGTGCTGCTGGTACAACTTATTGAACTGTGATAGTTTTGGAATCATGGTACTTGAGCTTGGAATTCTTTCCTCTCGATTGATTTGTTTATTGCAGCAGATTGTGGCTTTGATGTTGCACACATTATGAAGATACTGTTTGTCAATATAAAGAAAGCTCTTCAAATAATTAACTGTTGAACTTTCATTGTTGGAATTATACCCAATAATGAAATCTTGGGATCTGTGATCCAAAAGTACACTCTTTAGAAGTGGAAGTAGTTTGAAACAGTAGCACATAGATCAGATAAATCACGATTTCCAAATGTCACATATGTATTTTTCTCCATTAGGTATTAGATGGTCATGAAGGCCCCATCAGTAGTCTGTGTTTTAACCCAGTGAAATGTGTTCTAGCAAGCGCTTCTTGGGATAAGACAGTCAGATTGTGGGACATGCTGGATAGCTGGAGGACCAAAGAAACTCTGGCACTAAGTTCTGATGGTAAATCTGTTGAAATGTCTTGAATGTCTTGCCTTGTTTGTGTGATGTTTGCAATAATTATGGGGTACCCTGGTGGAGTGAAGCCATTCACATGGGGACCTCCAGGGTGCTGGTATGGGAACAAAAACTTCCATGTAACACAATTTTTGTTAATGAGTCTGAATTGAGCTTTACTCTTTATTTATTTAATACAATTTAGAGGCTGCCTACCTCCAAATGACTTGGGGGGCTTATGTTAAAAAATAATAAGAACAATATAAAGCAAGAAACAGAGCACAAGCATCCAGAAAGCAAACTCTGAATAACAATAAAATATCCTATAGGGACTCTGCCCCAAGACCTGGGAGAACAGCCACATTTTCACTACTTTTCTGAATGTCATCTGGGTGGGAGCTATATGAACCTCCAACATGGATGGGAAATTATATTGAACATGTTAAAACTTCCGATACTGCACGTATGTTTCAGGACAAGAAATAGGACCATCCTTATGAAATGTGGGATCTCTATGCTTGTGGAAATTTAAAATGATAATAACTGGTCTCTGATAACTGTTTGAAGAATGGAAGATAATGAAATCAAACTGCATGTGATGGAATGAATCTTAAATAAAACTTGCCTTTGATTTCACTCATGATCTTTGCAGTGCTTGCTGTTGCCTTTCGTCCGGATGGCAATGAGCTTGCTGTAGCTTCTTTGGATGGGCAAATCACTTTCTGGGATCATGAAAATGCGGTGCAAACTGGATCAATTATGGGGCGACATGACCTTCAGATGGGGAGAAAAGAGCTGGACAAAATAACTGCCAAACAAGCTGCTAAGGGCAAGTAGGTAGCATACTTAATGACCTTTTTATCTTTTTTCTGAACTGGGGATATCTATTATAATTAATGGAATCTCTTATCTGAATATTTGAATTTGAACTTTATTACTGTAGGCTTATTTTAATATTGGAGTGCAGAGCTGCTCTGCATGCTTTCTGTGGTTTTCTTTTAAATACTTGAATCCAAAAATTATAGGTATTTATCTAAATCAGTGTAATTTCCAGCTGTAGAAAAAATATGAATCTATAAAATTTATGTTGGACTCTTAGAACAAGCTCAGAATCATAGACTGTAAAAGTTGGAAGGATCTTGGAGATTTAGTTCAACCTAGGTTTTATTTGGAATGTAACCTTGAATGAATTTCTTAGATCTCTCAAAACCTTTTCTTTATTACTTTAACAGATGAAGGTTGTGAGAAATAAAATGAAGTAAACATGTCAGGAATGTGTTTAACTTGTTTGGATTTTACATGGGAATAATTTTTACAGATACCTTGTTAGATTGTCAAATCTCACAAGTTTGAGAGAGATTTAAATTGAGTATATCTGCACACATCTGGGTCATCACACAAAATTATATTTGAAAACATTCCCAACTGTATCATATGGGATGCAGACTGCAGTTATTCCAGAGTAACTGCTCTGGTGAGAACTATAAGCAGTGTGATATTTAAAGCCTGAGATGCATGTCAAATTACTGGTTTGCACTTTTTTTTTCAGATCTTTTACTAGTCTGTGTTATTCTGCTGATGGCCAATGCATTTTGGCAGGAGGTCTATCAAAGTTTGTTTGTATTTATCATATCAAGGAACAGATTCTCATTAAGAAGTTTGAAATATCTTGCAATCTTTCCTTAGATGCAATGGAGGTTAGTATATGTATGTTTGAACATGGGATAAATCTTGACAGTTTATGGAATAAAAGTATGCTCACTGATGCTACTTGCCTTACCACACAGTATTTTTAAACTGACAGTGAATGTATTCTTTGGACCGAGCAATTCATGTGTCTGTGACTTGAATAAATAAGCATTTTTTATTAAGATATTCCTACTTATCTATGCTTTGAATTAATGTTGTCTTTGTAATGTTATAACAGTTTATCCGTCAGTCATAGAGAATTCTTGGTTCTGATGAGGAAGAGCAAGGATTTAGCATCCATTGTAGCTAAAGTATTCTCAAACATATCTGGAATGTGAAATAGGCTATGTCGTCATATACTTTATTTTACAGGAGTATTTGGATCGCAGGAAGATGACTGAATTTGGTAGCATGGCATTAATAGAAGAGGGAAATGGCGATGATGATGGTGTTATCATTCCTCTTCCAGGAGTTAAGAGAGGTATCAGTT